GCGCCAGCGGACAGCGGGCAATGGCCCGAAGCAGCCAAGAGCTTCGACGGCGACAAGTATGTTAAATGGAATGGCGTAAAGCGTAAACTAAACTGCCGCGCACGCCATTTTGTTCAGTTTTTTTTTAAATATATACCCTATATATACAAATATAAATATAAAAGTAATAAAAGCGGCGGCCAAATGTTTGCGCTGTAAAAATTGTTTACGAGCTCCAAAGGAAAACCGCGACAACGCAGCGGCAACAGCAACAGCAAACAACAAAAACTAAACATACGGTGTGCGTGCGCTTGTGTGTGTGTGTGTATGTGTATGTGTGTGTGTGTGTATGTGTGTGTGTGTTTTGGTTGTTTGTTAACCGGAAGTCGGCGGTTATGCGACAGATGCGTCGCCATATTGCGAATGTTTATGCGGTCGCTTACCGAACAAATATTCATGTAGGCAAATCGATGAGGAAGGGGGAGAGTGAGCTAGAGAGAGAGGGAGAGAAAGAAGGAGTGAGAGAGAGAGAGAGGTAGAGTCACTTGAAGATAGATAGAGAGAAATGCTAAGGGTGCTTACAAAAGAATGGAAGAGAGATAGAGAAAAAGAAGCGAAAGAACGAAAAAGGATAGATAAAAGATGGAAGATGGAAGAAGAAAGATGGAAGATGGAAGATGGAAGATGGAAGATGGAAGATGGAAGATGGAAGATGGAAGATGGAAGATGGAAGATGGAAGATGGAAGATGGAAGATGGAAGATGGAAGATGGAAGATCGAAGATGGAGAATGGAAGATGGAAGATGGAAGATCAAAAGTTAAGAAGAATGGAAGAAAAAAAAGAAACAGAGTGAGAGAGAGAAAAAAGAATGATGGAAGACAACCGAGAGAGAGAGAGAGAAAAAGTGCGCGACAGAAAGAGATAGAGTATGAGAGAAAGAGTGAAACAAGGAAAATGAGTAAGAGAGAGAGAGAGAGAGAGAGAACTATATTGAGATTGTAGATAGTATGAAACCTGTAGCCACAACATAGAGATACCCTGTAGCTACAATTTTTAACTTTGAATAAGTCCCTTATTCCATCAGATTGTCAAGCCTTTCATGTCTACTTTAATTTTCAGTTTCAGTGAAGAGCTTAAGCGAGCTAAAGCGAAATGTTCACGCTGCACAGGTCCCACTGTGCTTTGGCATACCGTAGTAAAAATGGGAATCCAATAAAATATGGCAAGACAATTATTGGTCATGCGGGTAGATGCGGACACGTGGATGTTGGCAGGCGAAAGCCAATTGAAAAATTATGTTAATTTTGTCTTTTTTCGCGTTGGCGGCCAACACTGGAAAAATCTCACCAAGAGAGAGAGACAGCGTAAACGAGTAAGCGAGAGGCAGAGGAAGAGAGAAGGGAGAAACCCAAAGGGTTTCGCTGGCATAGCGGCACGTTGGCAATTTGTTAGCACGAAAGCCTTGGCCAGTAAGTAGCTTGGCCCGTGGGCGTTGCAGACGCTATTTACGAAATACAATACAGCCCCAAATGGGCGTGGCAGCAGAAGAGAGAGCGAGGGGTAGGGCCAGATATGGATGTGGAAAGGCAGATGCTGGCCGTCGCTAGGCCGTGATTAATGCCCGTCGTGGGCTTTTGTGCCGGCGCGCAAAATATTCGTGTAATCTACTTTAAAGCTCGAGCATTGCATAATTTTCGGGTTGCACTGCCGGAGAACATCCATTTTTGCATTTCCTCCTTTGCCTGGGGCTTGGCTTAGCCAGAGAGTGCTCTGCTCTGGCAACTGGGCAGCTGGGCAGCTGGGCAGCTGGGCGGCCGAGCAGCCTAGCCCGGACTCGTAAGTGAACAGCAGCGAGTGTTGCGCGTTGAGATTCCACCTCCAAAAGACAAAAAAAAAAAACAGTTATCACTACAATAGATGGGGCCAGTGCTTGCTGGGGCTTCAGTCGGCCAGCTGAGGCTGAGATTTTGGCCTAAATATATACACATATATATAACATAGATATGGATATGGCCATGCATTGCATATACATGTAGAGCAGGCAGTAAGCCAGTTATTAAGTGAAGGCTAAGTGTGTGGCTTGGGCTATGTTTCGCATATGCTTCGCTGGCACAAACCATTTGAGGTTATGAGTGTTGCATGAGTTGAGGCTTGAAGCGAATCTAGGAGTTAACCACATTTTCAAATAAAGCTAATCGAATATTTTTGCTTATTTAGTTTTGAGCCATTTGATATGAGTCCTTAGTTTCTGCAGTGCTGTACATCAATTGTATAAGTAAATAACGCTTTTCTATGCGATTCTCATGAATTAAAGTGAGGATAATGGCTTTTTTGCTTACCCTAATTATCTCTCTCTCTATCAGTATCCACTTCTTTCAGTCTTTCTCTCTTCCTTCCACTCGCTTCACTTCTATCGTTAGCTCTCTTCTCTTTCTCAAATTCTCTTTTACTCTGTATCAGTCTTCATACTAGCTTTGTTTCTTTCTTTGCTTCACACTTTTTCCCTTCCTTTTCGTACTCTGTATTTCCCTCTCTCTCTTGCTCGTGCTTGCTCTCTTCTTCTCTTACGATTTCCATGCGTCCCTCCATCCTTTTCATCTTTTACTCTGCCCTTAGTATTCCTATATCAAGATATTTGCATTCCCGCTAGCTTTAAACATTCGTCTATTAAAGTCCTTAGATTCACCTAAAATCCACTCACAGACACATACCTTTATATTCACGTATATGCATCATACACCAGTCATAAATATGCTCGAATATCTCCATCAAAACTAATGAAAAGAAAACTTTTCCATTCGATACTGGCCTAGCCTGGATAGCAACTTTTGTCTGACTATTTTTAGAAAAGTTTGGCAGTTGCTATTGCAATGTTATATTATGAAAACAATAGAGAAATAAATGTGGTCCGGAAGAAAAGAAAACATTAATTCTTACTTCTTCGTCTAATATTTTTATTTCAACTGCTGCTGGCCGAGTACTCGGTACTCAGTATTCGGTACTCGATACTCACCCAGTGGCTTGCTGCGATGGCGGCTGATAGTGCCTAAAGCATTGCTGGGCTGGGCTGGGCTGCTCCTGTTTTTACAGCGTTCGCCAAATATTTTTCTTTTGACTCAAAGAGCGATGGCGGCAAATAAAATAAATTACGTTCGATGATGATGATATTTTTGCCTGTTCCGTTTTTCCCGTTTTATTTTTTCGCCTCAGCTTTTGCTTTCGTCTGCTTCGCTGCTGGCGTCGCTGCCTTTGCATTACGTTTCGTTTTCTTTCGCTTCACTTTTTGGCTGCCCTGCGGCGAAATTATTTTATTTTGTGTGCGTTTGTGTGTGCATGGGTATAACGGTTATTGCGACAGCTTTGGCCACAGATATTACGCCGCTCCCTCTCCCTGCCTCTCTCTGTTGCACTTGTTGCCTTTGATTTGATTTTATTGCTGCGCTGCGCCAAGCAAAAATATTTAATGCCAATATTGCAGTTTGACGTCAAAGACATGCGGGCGTTTGCGTGTGTGGGTCGGTGTGTCGCAACCGAGCTTATTAGTCCTGCTGCCTGCAGCAGCAGCCATAGTTGCAACTGTGCACCAAAGCGTTGTCATATGCACTTAGCAGGCCTGGCCTTGGCATATGCCATGTGCCGTTTGGCATGTGGCTAGTTTCTTGACGCAGCTAAGAAATTGCCAATCGCACACAGTCAACAGGAGCAGCAACAGTAGCAACAGCAGCTGCAATTCCTTTTCTCACTCCAACTGTCATGCCAACGCATAGCAACAAAAATTTACTGCTCACTCCAAATTCATTTTCAACTTCAACTCAAGCTACGACAGTCGTGAAGGGAAGAAGATGCAGCAATTCGCCATCTCACTCCAACTGCAACTTCCACCCAAATTAGGAGAGTTGCTGCTCACTCCAACTTTAACTCAAGGTCCGCTATTCAAGAAGAAGAAGGAGAAGCAGCAGCAGCAATTCGCTTCACTCCAATTCGAACTTCAACTCAAACTACGAGAGTCAGCAGCAATTTGCTTTCTCACTCCAACTTCCCACTCAAACTGCGACTTCGATTTCAGCTCTTGTCTTGGACTCAAGCACATTAAGCGCTCTGGCAACGAAATTGCTTTTGCGGTTGCCATTGGAAGGAAGCCCCATGCCAGCAGCTAGCAGCCAGCAGCCATACCCGCACCACGCTACACACAGAAATGCCGCAGGTCAACTTTTGGCTTTGACATTACCAAATTACTTGCTGGCATTTAAGCAATACAACTAATTTGTGTTAAAATTCCATTAGCACCCAAAAAATGCGCAAATATGCTGAAGCTGTATGAGGCACACGCAGGCATTCGCTGATTGAATTATGTAAGCGGCAGGAGTGGAGAAATCAATCACGAAATCAGTTGCGAAATTGGGGTTGGCTTTTTATATGAATATGTATGTATGTACATAGTATTCGTTACATACATATATTAAGAGCTAATCAAACAGACAGTCAAACAGTTTTGAGTGCAAGCAAAGCTAAATTAGCTAAAGCCAAAGTTGGACGAACTTAGTATGTGCGGCGAATTAAGCTGGCGCAGCTAACTTAGCTGACATATTAGCAAGAGCTGTCAGTTTAGCTTGAAAACAGCTAAAAATTAATCAACAATTCTTATATATAATTTCTGTAGGGAAACAATTTGAATAAAATTATTTAAATAAATTTTTATGTATAACTTTGTTCTTTGTTATCTATAAATTCACGGCTAGAATTATTATTAACATAGAGTAAACACCTAAGAATCTACCGTAGTAGGCTGGTGACGTTGAGAGACAAAGACATTTCTCTTTCTTTTCATTTGTATGGAGAAACAGTTCCGTGTGACATTTCAGTAAATTCCTAATAGCAAAATAAGCCTTATTTTGTGACAAAAAAAACAAAAACAAAAAATACATATATAAAAAAAAAACACAAAAAAAACAGAGAGCTCCCAAAATAAAAACATCCCCAACCCTAAATACAAATTGAAGCACACAAATTTACGCGTGGAAAACCACAAAAAATAAATAAATAAATACAGACAGTGGGTAAGCGAATCAAAGATAATGAAATAGGGGGCGGGGTCGAGGGCCAAGAGGGGGAGGGCTAACGCAACCTGCCTTGGGCATGTTCCTTTAATTGAACGGAAGAAGCTCGAAAATTAAAAGGGGTAGTTGTGGCCGGAGCAGGGGTTGGGAAGGGGCGTGGCAATTGAAAACTGATTGAAAAACTAATTGGCTAAAAACGTTGTTTTTTTTTGTTTTGTATATCGGAACAGCTCGTGAGACACAAAAGGGAATTAGAGAATAAGATATAAAATAGATAAGGACAAACATGGATGGGGGAGATCGTAAGATAAGCGTTAAGGACGAGCCAATGGATGAGACAGACCAGGAGAAGATGCTGCGTGAGACCACGAATCTGCTGCGACAATCGGAAAATTGTATGTTCACAATCCAAGTGGCGCCCGGCACAACAATGCATATCAACATATCGCCCGAGCTGGGCCTGGAAACAGATCGTGCGAATCCATTGCCAGCAGTTGCCGCCAGTTGGTGCATCTCGACGCTGATCATTCACAACGGCCAGCACTATACGAACACCATACACAATTTTACCGTCAGTCCCCAGCTGATCAACAATCTGGGCCTGGTGCGGGAGCCCACCGATGGCAATGTACTGCAGCAGCTGCTGATGAGTCCGTTGGACCTGCCGCGAAATCCAATGCAAACGCTGTCGCCGCGCATCGTTGCCGACGGTCGGTTCGTGCATCCGACGGCCATTTACCGCATGGTCGAGCACTACTGCAACTATGTGATGCGCACCGCTCGGATATTGGATAACGTTTTCGGCTGGGTGGTGCCACAGCAGAACTCCGAGCTGCCCGCCCTGATGCAGGACATACGCTTCACGAGCCAGACCTTGCAGGCGATGCTGGAGCGGGTCCAGCGTTCGGTTCAGGCCGCTGAGCAATATTTTGGGCCACGTCAATTTGCGGCTAAGCTCGAGGATGATATGCAGCAGCTGGAGCACAAGACCGATGAGGATGACAGCAGCGAGACCGACGACGACACGGAGCACGATGCAGAGTCGCGGAACTGTGCGCCGGAATTTGTACGCTACGATGACTACGATGATTCGCAGATCAAGTGCGATGCCGATTCGACATCGAGCGACTCTGATATACGTAGCTCCATCTTCCTGGGGCCGGACTTTGAGGAGTTTCCGCAACAGTTTTGGTCGCTCACCAGCAGCGAGGACGACAACGAGGAGGAGCAGGGCGACGAGGAGAGCTGGGAGAGCGACTTCGGTGATGATGACTCCTTCGATGCGTACATGGTGCGTCAGCTACGCGCTCATGCCAGTGGCCTGGCTACGCGTCTGAACGCCGACTGGGTGAACCTGGCCAATGAGCCGACTCAAGCGGACGACGATGATGAGTGGGACATTGGGTCGTGCGGCACGAATGGCGACATCGAGGACATACGCTCGGAGCTAAGCTACAGCAGCGAGGATCTGAACGCTTGGCAATACACCGAGGATCGTACGTTTGAAACGGAGCTCAGTCGTCCGTTCCGTCGGCTTGTCGGCGATCTGCCCGCCCAGACGGCACAGGAGGAGCGCTACGCCTGGCGTCATTCGCTTGATCATTTTGAATTTCGTCGCAGCCTACGTCACAGTCCCAACTATCGCCAATATCCGGACGAGTCAGTGCCGTTTTCCTTCTACAACCACTGGCGTCAGCAGGAGAATCTGGCCACTTCCTCGGCCAGTTCGCAAAGCGAAAGTCCGGGTCGCAATCAGGCTGGCGGTCCATATTCCTTCTCCTTCTATTCAAATGCCATGGACAATATTAATAACTCTCTGCAGCCGAACATTTCGCAGTTGCAGGACATCGACTTGGATGATCTGGATCAGGAGCGCGAAACGACACCGGAACCAAATTCTGAATCAGATATCGATGAACTCCACATGGATGTAGATATTGACCCCATCGATATGCCGCCCGACCAACAAATAGTTCCGCTACAATTGTTCATACAGCAAACGGATGAACTGATTGCAAAGATTTGGGCAAATCTGTAGAGCGCCCAAGCAGTACCGACAAATTTTCTAAGCTAGCCTGAGACCATCTATCATCCAACACTTCCTTCACTTTCCTTTCACAAAACTATTTCCTTTTTGGTAATTTTTGTGGGATAAATTTTCGATTTTCACTTGGTTCTGAACTTGAAGGAAGGCTGAGTACATTGACTACGTTGTTATCATTACACGTTATATTTAGAAAGCTATTATATATATAAATACATATACATATATATATACATATACATATGTATATATATATATATATGAATATATATTATTATATATAATTATATATGGAGAAAATCGTTTTGTTTACAAACTTTGTTTACACATGCATATTTTCGAATAAATGTATTTGTGATTGTTTTGTGCATGAGTTGGTATTGAAGTGGAACTAGTTCATCATGAATCAGATATATAATTTCTGCTGAGGTGGTATATAATATATGCCTTATATCTGCGAATAAATGTGGATGTGTCTGAGTTGGTATGGCAGTGGAACTAGTTCATTTTGATGAATCAAATATGTGCACATATAAAAGTACATGCTTGTTATAAATACGAGCAAATGTGTCTGAGTTGGTATGGCAGTGGAACTAGTTCATTTTGAATTAGAATTAGTTAATCTTGATGAATTAACTTATGAAATTGCGCATAAAATAAATTTGTGCTTATGCATGCAGTGTTTTAAAATTGAACCAGTTCATTTAAAAGTAGAACTAGTTCATTTTAGTGAGTAAAATATAATTTCTCCTAAAGTGGTATGTGGTAGTCTGATGTCTACGAATAAGTATACCTGGTTGTGTAATGAGTTGGCATTGAGGTGGAACTAGTTCATTGTGATGGACTAAATGAGTAACCGTATGAGTGTGAGTATGGTATAGACTGATATATTACAAATAGAGTTCAGACTAATGTATGTTTATATGAGAGTGTATTGAAATGGAACTAGTTCATTTTGAAATGGAACTAGTTCATTTTGCAAAATCAGATATATATGTAATTACACTATATATGTGCTTGTTATATATGCAAATGGATTTTGAAAGTGAACCAGTTTTGAAATGGAACTAGCTCCGATGGGTTTCAAGTTTGAGACTGCGATGTAAAAAGTTTCTGTAGATAAGCACATTATGAACGTTGCTATATGCTATATAAATATGGGGTTCCGAGCTATAATTGTCTAAAATTGAAGTCCAACAAGTCGGGCAACCTTAAGCTAGGGCAATTACAACTGAAATGAAATGGAAGAGAGACGAAAGTGCGCTATCTCGGCTCAATGTTTTGTTTGCTTCGCATTGTTTTTCAGTTATTCCGTTTTTCAGTTTTCAGTTTTCAGTTTTAATTAAAACAATTTATGCCGATAAATTGAATTCAATTATTTTATTCTAGTTCAGGAGTGCAAGCAGCCAGGCAGCTGGGGAACTCACTGAAAGCGCTCTATACAAATGAATTTTTATTTCTTTTTGCTGCTCGTTTCTCGATTTCAGATTCTTGTTTTTTTTTTTTTTTGTTGGCTGTCAGAGAAAGGAAAGCTGGGAATAAAACTCGAATGCACAAGGAAAAACCAAAAAGGGGAAAAACAACTGAGATTACTCTAGACTGAAGTGCTCGACTAGCAGCTACCCTAACTTATTCTGTAGCTCTTATCTTTGAGTACTTCCTCTATAAGCACACACACACACACTCACACACACACACTCTCATTTCATGTTGAAGCTGCCATTGTTCTTCCGACAGTTCACTACCATCGAAAGGATAGCAGCGATTCGCTTCTAGAAGTGTCATTCTAATGAAATTTCAAGTGTACGTCTACGACAGCTAAATCTATATATATATCAAATTTCATTAGTCATACTAATCTTTGGGGACGATTATATGCAACGTCTATATTTTCTTGACAGCAGAGCGAGTCGGATGAACAGACGAGCTTATGAACAGGGTAGGAGCGAATCAGCTTTTACATCCAATAAAGAATCTATTTATATACCTTATGTTGCAGGACACACCTGCTACTGCTGCTTGTTACATACCCTTGCATAGCAACAATCTACCCATTGCTTACCCAGTCGAGTTGGGCAACGAGAAGAGTCGAAAGGCAGCTGCTGCGGTTGCCATGTTAGGCTCTTGTGCTTTGTGCCCGACTGAAAATGAAAATGAAATGAAAATGAAATAAGGCAAGCCCTGAGAAATGAATCTACCATAGAATGCCGAGCATTGAATAAATCAAATATTTTTAGATCACATCGTTTAGTTCGGCTTAAATCAAAGTTAGCTGCTCTGGTTGCGCCAACTCCTTGACTTTTTAGTTTAGTTTGAATAATAAGTTTGTTTTGTCTGGCTGATTGCGCCAATTGAGAGTAAGTGAAATGGAAATGGATATTAAGGAATTACAATGGATTATCCGCTGATATGGCGGGACCTGGTTCTGTTGCAACTGTTGAATATTTAAATGGGAGAGATAAAAGGCAGTCGGAACTGTGTAACTTGGCCAAATGAAGTCGCAGCGCGAGAGCAATGCGAATCGATTGCTGTATACCCTACATTAAAGAGATGAGCTTAAGAGCATCCAATGATTATGAAATGGGTCACTTTTAATGACCTTAGCTATATGCTCTCTTACGTTTTCAGCGAGCTCTGCCTGCTACCTATCGTATTGCTTGGACTTACGCTGTGCGAGCGACTCCTTTGTTTATTCTCTGTCGTGCGCATAGCTTCTACATTCCGACGCGCATCATTAATTTCCACTAGAGTTGCATCTAATCCACACACGATTTCTGTGTGCCGGTCAAAATGCGAACCTTGAAGGAAGAAAGGGCACAGGCAACGGTGAGCTCTACGGTTCAGCTGCTGGGCAAAGGCTCTTCTACTCTGCACACATTGAGAGTATGTTGTTCTTAATGAGGGATATGTAACCGACGGAATGCATGGCTAGTTAGGAGTCAAGATGATATGGGGAATACGACAGATCTAGCTACGTTTGTCTGTCCGCCCTTTCAAGCGTTGGTTGCCTATTGTTCTTTGTCCATTTGTCTCTATGTCCATCTTTCTATTTCTTTTATATAACTATTTGTTCGCCTGCCTGACCGTCCGACTGCCTGTTCGTCCGACTGCCTCTGTTCGTCCGTCCGTCCCTTCGACTGCCTGTCCGTCCATCCGTCTCTTTCTCCATTTTGTCGGTCTCTATGCATAAGGCTATCTGTGTAGTTCTTCCTTCCTTCGTCAGCTTCAGGGCATCGGCTAGTCGGATACGGACAGCTACAACGCTTTCACTTGTTTTTTTTTTGTGGTCTTTGATCCTTGGTGTTTGGTCCTTCGCGGTCTTTGGGTCGCACAGTTCGTAGCTCGCAGTTCGCAGTTCGTGCATGTGTAACACACGTTTCATGTGTTAACGAGTTGGAAAAATTATTATTACATTATTATTTTGTCTGCGGGTAATTCGGCAACAACAAAAGACACGACAACAAGGTGTTTCCCGCTGTGTGTGCGTGTGTGCGTGTGTGTGTGGGGCTTACAATAACAATAAATTTCAATTTTTCACACAGACCAAAGCGCCCGGCATTTGTTGGCTATAACTCTGGCCGGAGCAGGGACGGGCGGGGTGGGTCTCGGCAACCCTTAAGCAGCTTGCGCTCTGAAATTTATGCGCTATACGCGCGTTGGCTAAATAAATTTATAACTTACACACGCACAGACACACGCACACACATGCAATCAGTTGCATAGTTGTGCACCCAAAATGCTTAGCCCCTTTGCTCCACTGCCTCCTTAGCTAACCCCCCACCCCCTGTTGGGCTGCTACGCTTAAACGAGCTTTTGGTCTGTGTTTTTGGTCTTCGTTTGTCTTACAACGCTGCCATAGCCACGCCCCTTTTTACTACCCCTAGCCACACATATGACTTTATCTATGTCTCTGTCTCGTGTGCGCGTGAATTACGAAAATTTTCTTGCAATTAAAATTTGTTGCTTTCTGGGTATCATAATTTTATAAGTTTCCCAACTACAGACAGAGACAGCGAAGCGAGAGAGAGAGAGAGAGGGAACCAGCTGTCGTTGAATTTAACAAATTACAAAAAGCTTTGTGCATATGCTTAAAATAGATTGCGCAGCTATTAATGAATTAGTGTGCAGAAGTTGTAAGAGTTTGTGCAAAGCTTTAGCTTAAAAGCTTCTTAAGTAGTGGAATCTGGAAATGCTTTAATATGGACTTAAAGTGGAAGCTGCTTAAAAAGCTTCAGATGCAAGAGATGTGCAATTTTATGTGATGTAATCAAATTTAAAGTTCACTTCTTTTAGCACTGCTTAAAGAGGTACTTTGGCTCATATATTATAGCTGATTGCGTCTGCCCTGACATACAGCAAAATGCAAAAGTTCTAAATAGCTAAGGTAGCTGTCAGTATTAGATTTAGTAGGCAACTTTCAGAAGCTTACAAAGCTTTGGCTACTGTTGTAAGCTTTTTAAGCAGCTTGCATAGCTGGCACGTTGCTTTTTCAATTTAAAACGTTGCCTCGTCAACGTTAAAAGCACTTGGATAATCAACAGCAAAGCATTGTACAGAGAAGTCTTCTACTAGCTTTTTGATTCTAATAGCATTGTCTATTTCTGACATAGCTGTGGGCAAGCATGCCAAGTGTATTTATGTAAATGCATTCCTTGACCTGCTCAAATACCTGATATCAAATCAAATGAAATTGTCGAGACTTTGAATACTAAGCCGCACTATATAAATTTGTAATTAGGCAGGTGCGAGAGTGCGACCTGCTGCATGTGTCTACAGCACACTTAAGCCAGTGCTCAGGGTCAGGCTGGGTCAGACTGTGCATGGCTTAAGAGCTGTATGTAACGCACCTGTGAAACTATAAAGCGTGTACACTGCGCAAAATTGTCGAGTGCCAATGGCGAAAGTTTTATTTTTGGCTATATTAGAGCAGAAGCTTTAAAAGCGTAACTGAAGCATATATAAACTTATATGGTTGCCGATCAGTTGAAACTGGTAGCCTTTGCTCACTTGTCTTTCGACTGATATGGATAGCTTGTAAGACTTATGCCATACATATATGCAAGCTTTTGAGAGCTTTTTTTAAATACTTAAATATTCTATAATCTTCTAGTTGGTAGGAAAGCTCATTGACAGTTTGTAAAACATAAACTATGCACTCAAATATATGGTATATATGAGTATATATGAGAGCTTTTG